CCCCGGGGTAACCGGTTGCTAGCTTGATTTAACCCAACCCATAAGAAGGAACCCACCACTGAGGCACCAATGGAGCGCAACCTACATAACACAGACAAACCCAAATTTCGATCGGAGTACAAGGCGAGGTCTCTACCGAAAACCAATTGCAAAGCAACCTTTGTTCGCCCCCTAAGAATCGAACCTAGGTCAAGCCTAAAGAATGGGAAGCTTTCACCATCAGACCACCACCCTAGTCATAAATTTAGGGATGATATTTTAAAGGTTTGTAACATTACTCAGCTAACAACAGTAATTGGATTTAGTTTGCTAAAAAGTGTTCCAAGCTTCCAAGGAGAATCCAAAACCATTACCTTCTGTTGGGGATTCTATCCGAACTCAAAATATGTTTTAGTATGCCTAATTTAAATTCTTATTATATCTTAATATGAATTTACTAATAAGAAAAACACATATTAAATTCTAAAATAATTTTTTTTTCTTATGGTACACCATAATTATTTATTCCTATTCAAATCTCTGTATCTTCTTCCCTAAGAGATCAAAGTTATTTCTTCTTCTTCCTCCTCTCTTCAAAACTCCAATCCATCCTCCCAAACTCACCGTCATCATCAACATCATTGTTTTTTTTATTATTTTGAAACCCTAAACCATAGAAGAAAGTTTAAACAAAATCAAATAATTGATGAAAGTAATAATCAAAATAGTTTTTTAAAGCAATCCATAAAAAATGAGGTGAGTATTCATATAAAGAGATTTTACAATTTTTGTAGAGCACCATCAATTATTTTCTATATCATTTTTTTTGACAAAAATTAAAGGCCCAGTAGTTAGATTAACAATAACATATTATTGGTGTTGTTTTTATTTTGTCATTTAAATAATACGTTATTTGAGAACTACTCTTTTTTGTTAGTGCTTGATACTTATGTACTTATAAGTTTGGTTTTGACTTTTTCACGAGCATTCTCGTAGATAATTTATAATGTAAAAGTTTTTTTTCCTGTATTAAAAAGTTTTATAATGCTTATGTAAAAGTTTGGTTTTTTCTGTATTTATAATGCGTTTTTTATTTTTTTATTTTATGTATTTGAGAATTATTTTCTGTATTAAAAAGTTTTTGAAATAATTTAGTTTTTTTAATTTGTTTATTGTTTATTATTTGGGTTTACCTGAAGGTAATATAAGCAAAATAATACAATGTAATAAAAGTAAAATAAATTTTAAATAATTAAATAAGGTAATTAAATTGAGAATACTTAATGATTTTTTGGGGTAAATAGAATCCCCTTATGTTTGATCGAATTCAACTAAATCAGCCCAGTCCAACTAACCATTGGGCCTCAACCCATCTTATTGTCCTAAATTTTCCCAAACCATCCTAGAAAGTAGCCAAATTAGTGCAATTATTTATTCGATAATGCTACGTTGCTCGAAAAAAGTCTCCTCGAATCTCCCTAATCCCAGAAACGACGTCGTTTCTGCATTTTTTTTTTTTCCTGGTTCAATCAGAAACGAGGGAAAAGAAGAAGGAAGAAGGAGAAGAGAAGAGAAGAGAAGGAAAGAGGAGGAGGAGGGAGGAGGACTGGAGGGGGCCATAACCACGGGGAGTAGGAGGCGGAGGCGAGGCAGAGGCGGGGGCTGCCGGAGACGACGATCGGGCAGAATGCTACGTTGCTCGAAAAAAGTCTCCCCGAATCCCCCTAATCCCAGAAACGACGTCGTTTCTGCATTTTTTGTTTTCCTGGTTCAATCAGAAACGAGGGAAAAGAAGAAGGAAGAAGGAGAAGAGAAAAGAAGAGAAGGAAAGAGGAGGAGGAGGGAGGAGGACTGGAGGGGGCCATAACCACGGGGAGTAGGAGGCGGAGGCGAGGCAGAGGCGGGGGCTGCCGGAGACGACGATCGGGCAGAGGCGGGGGCTGCCGAAGACGACGATCGGGCAGAGGACGACGATCGAGCACCTCCTCTTCCCTCTCTTCTCTTCTCTCTCTCTCTCTCTCTCTCTCTCTCTCTCTCTCTCTCTCTCTCTCTCCTGAAATTAGGGGGATTCGGGGGAGGAAATTAGGGGGACAAATCATTATTCTTATTTATTTGTTTTTCTCCATAACACAACACCACCATCCATTCAGATAATTAAATAATGCAAAATGTTTAAATTATAAATTTATGTACTTCTATATTTTTAAAAAAATTAATTTCTATGAAGAAAGTAAATTCATATGTTTTTTTATTAAGTCTAATTATTCTGATTTGTATTTCACAGTTTTAGAATAACCAAATAGCCTATTTTTAATCATTATCGATTGCTTTTATGGGCAATACTAGAGTTCGGCTTCACTTGTAGGCCCCTCCACCAGGCAAGGATGAGAATTCATGGCCCAATTATTCTTTTTCACCAAAAATAGTTCTTGCTACCAGAGCCCACCCATATTTGTTGCCTTTTTTGGGCTGGGTCAAATATGAAGAATTTGGGTTTTGCAGTCGATTCGTAAACTATTTCATTATATTTTAATAAAAACTATATGTTTGTTAAATTAACTTTTTTTTATAATATGTTTAAATTTAAACGTTTCTTAAAATGCTAAAATTGATTTACAACTAGATTTTGTTAAGGATCCAAATTCAAATAATTATTAAAATTTGTTTTTATAGCCAAATTTAGAAAGACTAAATTAGACCTGGTATTAAATCAAATCAAACTTAAAATGAGAGAAAGCCCAATAGACAAAACCAACAGTAGAAAGATTTTCAATATCAATGAAAATATTATTTCTTTAGAGGGTGCTCTAATTATTCTCTCAAATATATATAATTTTATATTCCGCATGTATTAATATTAATAATTCGTTTGGTTTATTTTTTTTAGTTATGTTTTGATTAATTAAGTAAAAATAATAATTCTACCCCCCCCAAAAAAAAAACTGAAAAAATTAAAAACTAAGAACCCACCCAACTTTTTCACTAATTAAAAATATTTGTTTTTAAATTTACCAACACATAAGTTTTTTTTAGCAACTTTATTCTTAAAAAAATATACTAAAGAAATTATTACCAAACCAATTCTAAGTGATTATTAACCGAAATTTTAAAAATTCAAGACACATAACCTCACACATGAAAATTGCAGACTTATTATTATTTATAAGAAAATGCCTCAGAGACCCCAGTGAGGTGATCCCACCACCCTCACTGTTTTTTGATTGGTGATTTTTTTTTTTTTTTTAAGTCCTAGTCCTGCCTCACAGCCCACAATATGGAGGTGAGGGTGCTGGGGTCACCCCACTGGGTCCCAGCAGTACCATTATTTATGCACACTCCATAAGTGTGTTACAAAAATTAATTGGTTGACTTTAACTAATTAAAAAATATATAAATGAAAAAAAAAATAAACTAAACAAAACAAGTTATGGAAATAATATGGTTTATATTATTTAAAAGGTGTGTATCATATGTACTTTATAAATGAAGAAGAAGATAGTATAACTTTATATTTTTTGAGTCATAACTAAAAAATAAAAAAAAATCATAACTAAATACAACATGAGACATAGCTAAAGAATTTATGAGGTATGACTAAAATAATGTTATAACTAAATAATAGAATTGATTATAATTGGAAAAAAAAAATGACATAACTAAGGCCTCGTTTGGGAACAGGCTAATTTAGTAATTTTTTTGGCTATTTGGCTAAAAAGGTAGGTAAAAAAAACTTGTATGTTTGGGATGACTTTTTGGCTAATTACGAAAAGATGTGCAAAAAGTAGAGAGAAAAGAGAAACTTTGACTTTTTGGTATGAGTTGTTGGTTTTTTGGCTAATTTAGTAACTTTTTGACTAATTGGCTAAAATAGCCTCTTGCCAAACGAGGCCTAAAAGTGTAACCCTGTGTATAGTATGTAGGTTAGAATTTTTCAACAATGGTATAATAATTTAAACAACATAGTTATATCTACCAAATTTGTTCGAATGAGACTGGTAAGAGTTTCTCGTTTTGAAAACTCGTAAGAGATTCTTCCAAAAAAGTCTCATTGCTCGAATTGAAACTGAACAAATTCAGTAGATAAATCATTAATCTTTAAAAAAATAAAACCACTGTAGAGTAGGAGCATAATAGATAAACTCAGGCTATGTTTGGCATGAATTTTTTCGGTTAAAATAGACACAAAAAGACAAAATAGACTAAAAATCAATAAAACAAAATGTCATTTTCAAATCATAATTATTTTTTTTCCCTCTCACAAAAGTTTAAAAAAATCAAAAAACTCATTCCAAATGAAACTTTTTACCTCCGAACTAAAATATCCAAAAAATATAAAATTGAAAAAGCCAACTCACATCTCAAAATTAGGTTAAGGCTTAGTTTGACATAATCTAAAAAAGTCAAAAAGTTAAAAGTCACTATCTTATTTAAATCATATCATCTCTCTATTACATCACTTCAAACTCAATCCATATTTTACATTTTTTCTTAAAAAGTCAAAAAATACACAGTGTGTTTGGTTGGAGGATTTGGGGAGGGATTTGGAAAGGGAAAGGGAAAAGGTGTGTGAAACTATGTGAAATATAAGCATAATTTATTCACATTTCACCTACCTTTTCCATTTCCCTTTCCAAATCCCTCTCCAAATCCCCCAACCAAACACAGCATTAGGGTTGGTTTTGAAAGTAGGTTGACTTTTTGACTTTTTTAACTATTTTAGTTTAGGCTAAAAAACTTAGTTTGAGAAAGATTTTTTGACTTTTTTAACTTTTGTGTAAAAAAAAAATGTAATAATTATAAATTAGATGTGATATTTTATCTTTTATAACTAAAATAATCTATTTTATTTTTTATAATTAAAATAGCTAAAAAAAGACCCATTTCCTTCTTCCCAAACGGTGGTTAGATTATCCCAAACAATTCTAAATGCCACCCCTACATTATAAAATACTGTCATTTGTTGTGTCAACGTCACATCATTACTTTGCTACATTTTATATTTGTCATTACAAATATTGATCCCAAAAGCATTTGAAACCAAAAGCAAAAAACAGAACAATTTTATTAAGCGGTTTTACATATATTTCTCTCACTCTCTCGTTTCTGCGTTGCGTTGTCCTCCTTCCCCTTCTTCTTCTTCTTCTTCTTCTTCTTCCCTTAGGAGCCCCTCTCTCTCTCTCTCTCTCTCTCTCTCTCTCTGTGCCATGGCGTCCACCGAGAGCTTCACCGACAAGAACGCTTTTTTCAGAAAGCTCAAAGCCAAGTCCGACAACAAGGTCTGTGTGTGTGTGTGTGTCGCTGGGCTTTCATTTTATAGTTGTTACGTGAAATTTGTTGTTGTTGTTTTTTAGGTGAATTTGGTAGTAATTGTGAGATCTGATTCAGATCTGGCATTTCCAAGGCTAAATTGAGATTCTGAATTTGTTTTTTTTGGGGGGGATTTGGGTTGAATCAGATGTGTTTTGATTGCAATGCTAAGAATCCAACATGGGCTTCTGTTACGTACGGGATCTTCTTGTGCATCGATTGTTCGGCCTCTCATCGCAGTCTAGGCGTTCACGTCAGCTTCGTTAGGTGATTTCTATTTTCAATTTTTTTGTTTCTTTCTAACATTAAATTTTTTATTTTATTTTTCAATTCGCTTGTTTTATGCAACATTGTGCTTTGTGAAATTCACTATTCAATCTTTCAGTCACTTTGTTGGTTAATTTTGCCTCTTTTTGTGGGAAGGGAAATATCAAATCAGTGGACATTTAAAAAAATAATTACAAAGCATTGATAAATTTTATAAATATTAATAATTAAAATTATAAACTTTTTTCATGAATCTGTAATTTTCTCTTTTTTTTAGTACATATTGTTATTGCTAAATTTACTAACTGTTATACACACACAAAATGTCTCGTATGAAAATGCTTAAGACCAACAACAACCCTTCCGCAATTTGAACCACAATGATGTAATGACGTGGCATGATACATGTCAACTTTTGATTTATTACATGTTCAATTGTGTGAGGCTTATCTCACTTGCCCCAGCACCGTGGGTAAATTTAGGGGTCAAATTTGTGAGTCTGTGGCACTACTCTTGTTTAATATTGATTTGAGTGGAAATGTTTGGTTGGGGTTTGGGGTCGAGGAACATGAAAGTTCAAGCTTTCTTGCAGTCCTTGGACCACCGATATAGACTTAAGAAAATACATGGAGCATAGGTTGAATGATTTATTTGAATAATCTGAATCAAGGAAAGAAGATTGATAACGAGGATGTAGACTCTAGACTTAGTGGTTGCGGGCATTTGGTGGTTCTCTCTTGGGCAAGTGGTTCAGGTTGCTGGGTTGGATTCTCAATCTATTTCCACCCAACTCTTAGGATCTTGAGAACCTAGCCTTGGCCTTGTTGATTTCACTCGCAAGGTACCATAACTAGTATAGGAATGCTTTTGTGAAATATTTTTCTAGTTGTCTTTTGGTGTGTGAGTGAAAGGAGAAGTATTAAGAAATTACTGTACATATAGAACATTGTTGTGGTGCTTTTACTCCATATTCCATAGATAACATAAACAACAAGAACAATGCAAAATGGTGTTGACCTCAAAGGAGAGCTAGGGCATTGCAGAGCATTACTGATCAAATTCCTATCACCCTTACCCCCTCAGATGATAGGGACTATGAGGTAAGATGGTTACCTGCTTCTAATGGATAATTTATTGTTAGCTCAGCTTGGAAGACTATCAGGCTACAAAAGTCAAAAGTTTTCTACTGCAATATTGCTTGGTAATGTGCCAAGATGGTCATTTTCTTTCTGCTTGTGTGCTATGGGAAGGTTATCCGCTCTTGATAGAGTACATAAATGGGGTTTGACACAACACACTAATTGTGTTATGTCTGGACAATCTGTAGAAGGCCATGAGTATCTATTTTTTGAATGCTCTTTCATTGGGGGGATTTGGCTGCAAATTCTGGCTTTGCACCATATCATCAGATTTCAATGGGTATCTAATGGGAGCTCAGGATTCATTTATTCTATATTTTATTTTTCTCATATTGCTCACATCCACCTTGTCATCTGCATTGCAATCCTGTGCATTCATCACCGTATTGTCTCTTAGCTATCTAGTTTTTCATTCTGTAGAACATGGTTGGTCTTCTAGCTGTCTTGCTAGTTCTGTTTCGATATAGATTTCATGTAGTTCAAATGTATGTACATCAACTTTCGTTCACCCTTACATTTCAAGATGATTGGCGTTTTAAGTCATATTCCCAAAGTATACATCAGTTTTAAGGATCTGTCTTTTGTTGCAAATTTGCAATGTGTTACTTAAAATACTGTTAGTAAATGTCCAAAAAATATCCTTGTTCGTATGTCTGCAGAGGTTGATCATTGTCCTCTTCTACTGCTTCTGGTGTTTATCCATTTGACATTGTAAAAGCAGAAATATAATTACTTTGCCATTTCTTTATATTAACTGTTGGAATGGGTTTGGTTTCTTTTCCATGACATTATGACCACCTCTTGATTAACAAGTTTGTTTTTGGCCATTGTTTATCTCAAGTTACTTTGACAAATGCAATGCACTGTATTCAGAAAAATCAGAAGAAACTCATTTTTTCTCCATGAATTATTGTGTTTATTATTGCAGGTCTACCAATTTAGATTCATGGACTCCAGAGCAGCTAAAGATGATGAGTTTGGGGGGAAACAACCGTGCTCAAGCTTTCTTCAAGCAGCATGGATGGACTGGTGGAGGCAAGATTGAGGCCAAGTATACCTCAAGAGCGGCTGAATTATATAGACAGATACTTACAAAAGAAGTTGCTAAAAGTTCTGCAGAAGACGCAGGCTTGCCATCATCTCCAGTTGCTTCTCAGTCAGCATATGTCTCTAATAGACTTCCTGATGTCAAGATCAGTGAAGCTTCTAAAGAAATTTCCTCAGGAAAGCAAGAAGTTCCTAATGTCTCTGCTTCACCTAAAGCTTCTCATACAGTTACTGTTAAAAAGCCTCTTGGTGCAAAGAAAACTGGAAAAACTGGGGGACTTGGTGCTCGAAAGCTTACTACTAAGGTGAATCCTTGCTTTACCTCAATGAACAAATTGGTTACTCAGAAAATTTTATATCATAAAATGATGTGTTGAAAGTTGCTTTTCTGTTTAAGAAATTCTATTTTTTGAAGTTCATTTGTTATTGCTTGATTTTGCGTAATGAATTTAACTTCCTTTGGTTACACCAAACACTTCCATGCAGCCAAGTGAGAATCTCTATGATCAGAAGCCTGAAGAACCTTCTGTACAAGTTTCCACCTCAACTAATAGCACCCCAACGGACAGCTCATCTTTTACATCACGTTTCGAGTACGTAGATAATTTTCAAGATGCTCCGATGAGTTCTGGAGGCACGCATGTGTTGAGCCATGTAGCCCCGCCAAAATCGTCAAGTTTCTTTTCAGATTTTGGGATGGACAGTGGTTTCACAAAGAAATCAGGCTCCAATTCATCTAAGATTCAAGTAAGCTGATACGATTTATGATTTTGTTTTCAAGTGATGGCAGTAGCACAACCAGATAAATGTGATTATACCAATATGGAGAAGCATTTTAAGGATCTCTACCCAAGACTGAATATATTTTTGGTGAATTTTGAAATAATATATTGCCACCTAATTTGGTTCATTTTTCTTTAAATTCCTTCTAGTTTTTTCTTCACTGTGTCATTGACTAGATCTTTCTCTGTTGCTTAAAAAGTACAGTTTGATGTCCACTCGTCATTTGCTATAACTCTACACAATAATCCAGCAAGGCTTTCATTGGTGATACATGTATTTTTCCTTAAATAAATTGGGGCTTTCTTGGATCTTAGTTTGTGTTGGTAGACATCACATGTTTGGGTTTTAAATTCATTGAAAAAAAAAAAACAGTAGTAACTCTCTTTTCCTCCAATAGTCGCATGCAAAAAATAAATAATATATGTGCCTTGTAACTAGTGTGAATTTTTACTTATGCTATGGGTTTGACCATATAATTTGAAAGGGGGAAGGTTAGTAACCCAAAATTTTGTTAAATATTGATGGAATAGTTTGTCTTTGCGATTTTCAATAAATTCAATGGGTGACTCTTTCGTTTCTCCCAATGTACCCGTATCCACTGTATATGATAAGGGTAAGAGTATGTGATATATGTCAGACACTCATATATGGGATATGTGTCTGACACACGGACAAGTCCCCTTACTCATATCCAATTTTTGAATACATATTTTAATATCCCAAGATTTAGGTTTATGAAAGTTTGATGCTTGGCCACGCACCCGCATTAGCACCTGATACTCGTACTTGAGTCCATGTATAACATACTCAATGTCGTTTACATAGATGTCTTCCTTGCCTGTGAATCTCTTGCCTAAATGAGTTATAGGAAGTTACTAGTTCATGCCTACAAGCATTTATTAGCTCAAAGCATTGGTTATATTTCTGATGCTTTCAACTGGTCATTTTAGAACCATTCTTAAAATTGATTGAACAGCTTTGAACATTGCCTTCATAATCTATCCCTGATACTTTGTTCCAATTTGGTTTTGGCAGTTGGTTTGCATTTGTAATGCCTGTCTTTCTGTATTTGTTGATACGTATTATAATTCTCAGATTGAGGAAACGGATGAAGCAAGGAAGAAGTTCTCCAATGCAAAGTCTATTTCATCCGCCCAATTTTATGGGGATCAAAGCAAAGCCACTGCAGATGCTCATGTTTCCTTGCAAAAGTATTCAGTATGTGCTCTTTCCATGACTTGTAAAAGCATAAACCATAACCATTTCCCTGCACTTGAGATTCTTGAATTTATCACACATATGAACGAGCACTCTTAAGTTGAATCCTATAATTTATTTATTTATTTATTTTTTCATTCTGCCAAAGCTGATCGCTAACTAACAGGATGTAGGGTTTAGCAAACAACTTTAATGAGGAATAACTGTCCATGGCTACCTGAAAATTTGGTGGACTAGCGTGTTTTAAATTAGTTAAAGTAACATTTTATTTCTTCTTTGTTTTCCCTTTTAAACTTTTATTTTATAATTTATTCTGGAAAATGGTTGCAGCAAATATCACTTATGAATGGTTGGTTGGTTGGAACTTAAGAACTTCAACAAGGAATAACTTCTAAGCGTTACGTGATTAGCAATTATTGGATATGATAGCAAATATAAGTCAACACAATCAACGGATTACGTATGTCCAGATATGTTTATTTATATGACTCTCTCTCTCTGTGTGTGTGTGTGTGTTTTTATTTATTTATTTTTTACTCTACTTTTCACCTTTTGATGGATAATATTGAAGTAGAAGTACTTACAAATGAACTTGTAGCCGTCTTCTTGCTACTCTCAAGAATCATTTCATTTGAAATTGCTCACCTTAACCTGGTTGGACATTATCTAGGAACCTTAGTGTTATCCTAATGATTTTCAAATCAATTGTCTCCCTGAAAATTTGCTCAAGTGCTCTGAAGTGGATCTATTTTATTAGATTGAATTTGCTACTGATTTCCAACTCATTGGGATAATATTTCTCCCTTATCTCTTTTGCAGGGTTCAACAGCCATCTCTAGTGCAGATCTATTTGGTGACGATATGGATAATTCCAGTCTTGATGTCGCTGCAAGTGACTTCCTTAACCGACTATCGTTCCAGGTTTGCTTCGCAACTCCTTTTCTATCGAAGTCTTTCAAGAAAATAACTTTTATTAAAAAAAATACTGTATTTACTTTCTATTATTTCCACATCTTCACCATATGAGTAGTACTGTATCTGAACTTTTCTTCTTTTTTTTTTTCTCCTCGGCAGGCACAACAAGATATTTCTTCTCTTAAAAATATAGCGGGAGAGACTGGGAAGAAACTGAGTTCCCTGGCGTCCACTTTAATGACAGATCTCCAGGATAGGGTTCTCTGACAATGCTATGTTTTGTGTTCGAATTCATGAGGATTAGCTTGTTACAATTGTTACCACAATATTTATCTAGTGGATGTAAAAAAAAAAAAATCAAAAATTTATTTGAAAAGACAAATATAAGATTTTAACACTCACCATGCTTATGATAAGCTGTTGTTATTTTATTTTGTATCTGAGGGATTGTTATTTTAGATTGCTTATGTATGCTTTTGTTTTTTATATTTTATTTGAAGGAATGTCAATGTTTGTTGATTATTCACCTATTTTTCATGCATTTTGATGTGAATCTTTAAATTTTATAAAATCTTTAAGATTGCGTTTGCTTCATAGATTTGATTTGATAAAAGATTTAGAAATAAAAATGAAAAATGTAAGTAAAATGTAAATAAAATATATCTATATTTTATTTAATTTTACATACTTTTTTTTTTTCTTTCCAAATCATTCTTTAAATTTATGAATCAAATATAGCCTAAAATAATTAATTACATAAGCATATTGAATTAATTACATAAATTTGTCAAACCTAAAATAAGGAAAATAATATGTTTAGTTTGAGTTTGGGAGATGAGTTTTAGAGTTAAAAAATACAAAAAGTTGTTTGGTTTGGTTTTTTTCAAAAGATGTTTTGAAAAATTATTTTGAGAGAGAGTTTTGAAAAAAATGATTGATTTGATGTGTATGAGATAGAGATTTGTTTGGAAAACTTGTAAACCAAACAAGTTTTGGAAAAAATTTTTAGGAAAATTTGTTTGGTTTGATTACTTTTAAAAACTTATTTGTAAAGAATTTTTCTCAAAAATTTTGGAGAAACACAAACCAAACAAGGCCCAGTATCCAAGAGAATATTCAGATAAAGATTCTCCAAAAACACCTTGCAGATGCTATTAATAATAATGTTGCATGAGTAAGCTAATTGAATTCAAAGCGTTTGATATGTTTGTGCCTCCGTTTGAGAAGCGGGTTGATTTTTTTGATTTTTTGACTTTTTTAGTTATTGTAGTCTGGATTAAAAAACTTAGTTTGGGAAGGATTTTTTAGGCTCCGTTTGGTGGAGTTTTCAAAATCTAGTTCCACACTCACTTTTGAGTGTGGTGTTTGTTTAGGGTTTTCAAATTATAATTCTACACTCATTTCTCAAAACTCAATTCAAAACATAATCATTACTTTTCAAAACTCATAACCAAACACATAATTCAAAACTCTTTTCAAAACTCCATTCAACGTTTGCGAAGTGAGTTGACTTTTTAATTTTTTGACTTTTTTAGTTATTTTAGTCTGGATTAAAAAACTTAGTTTGGGAAGGGTTTTTTAGTTTTTTAGCTTTTTTGACTTTTTTTGTGAGAGAATAGTGTAATGATTATGAGTTGGATGTGATGTTTTATTTTTTGTGATTAAAATAACCTATTTTATCTTTTGTGACTAAAATAGCTAAAAAAGCCCACTTTAATTCTTCCCAAACGAACCCTATGTAGATAATTTGTTTCAATTGCATACGCATATCAAATATATGAAAAAAACTCTACACGTTATTAATTGTTGAATGTGTTTTATGTGTAGGTTATAAATATTTTTCTCTTCCATGTTTGAAAAATACCCACCGATCAAACATTACCCTGATAAATTTATAGTTGTTTAATAATTGAAGATTTTTTTTAGGATCCTTCATATTAAAATTTTATAGTATGGGGATTATTTGGGATGTTTTAAATAAGTATATTTTTTGACTTTTTATAAAAAGATGTGTAGAAAAGTAGAGAGGAAATATTGATTGATGTGACTCAAAAAGATAAAAAATATAAACTTATTTAGTCTTCCCAAACAAAATCCTAAAGAATATTTAATATTTTAATAATATCTAAAGTCTCTCAAATTAATCTATAAAAAATTCGAGTGAGAGAATTTTTCTAAACTTCGTAAAGAAATTCTCATCGAACAATTTCTCTGGACTTCTTAAAAAAATTCTTTCAAAATTAAAGAAATTTCCAAATAAACCATTCTCTCCCACTCAGATAAATTTCATTTTCTATGATTTTTAATGACACGTCTCCACTTATCTCTCGGACCCACTTTATCATCTTCATCACACAACTAATTAAACAAGACAGAGAACTAACTTCTCAAAAAAAAAAAAAAAAGAGAGCATAAAATTGCAATACCGTTTCGCAATCCGATATTGGACTCTTCAGTGTTGATGTTGTACAAAACACTCTCATATCTCATTTCGCTCTTGGATGTCAAGCTAATCAAGCTGCCGATGTATGAATCGACAGATGAACTAGATCTATAACTCTCTGTCGCCATAGTTGCAGCAGCAGCAATGAAGATCAATTGACAAATCTAACTCTGCAACGATAAAAGTGTGTAGAGAGAGAGAGAGAGAGAGAGAGAGTATGAGAGGGGATTTGGATTTGTTGACCCCCTTTGAAGACTGTGACGGTGGTAGCAGTGTAGCAGCAGGGCGCATGCAGGTGGTGGCTGAGCGGCAACGCTCCGGTGACAGTAGGGGCGTCGACGGCGGTCGACAAGGTGTAGTCGGTGGGGGTAGTGTGGCAGAGTGAGTAAGAGTGAGAGTAGAGGCAAGATCGCGACGTTGGCGGTAGCGCAACAAGGGGCCGGCGTCAAAAGACAGACGATGGTGGCGTGGGAAAAGGGAGGAAAGATTAGGTTGCATTATGGTGTGTACTGGAAAAGAAGAGTGACAGGTGATTTTTTTACGTTCGGAGGGTGAAGTTTCTTTGTGATATATGAACATAGTGTTTCAGAATTTTAGATATCACAAAATGATATTATAAATTTTGCTTATTGTTAAAAATAAGTGAAGGATCTTGAATTAATTTTTTTTATAAGTATTACGGTGTTGGTGTTTTTGTTTTTGCCTATTTATTACTAATAACTCTTAGGTCTTGTTTGGCGACATGTCGATTTAATTAAAAAGTTAAAAAATTATTAAAAAAGTTAAAAAATTAATAACTTATATCAAAAAGTCAGAGATTCTTTTTTTTTCTTTATTTTTTACACATCTTTCTATAAAAAATCATCCTAAACATACTAATTTTTTTATTTATATTTTAATTAAATAATTAAAAAAATTATTAAATTAACATGCTCTCAAACAAGGCCAAGTAACTATATGAATAAAACAAGAGTAAATTACTTGCTGTTATAGATGACCACTCGATGTATGGACAATCATTTTTGTTTTTAGTTTTTAAAATATGTTTAGCAATTGTGTTTCGCTACAGCTTTTTTTCATCCATCTATAAAAGAGAAATATCAAATGAGTGAAAAAGAAGAAGAGTAATTTTGTAGGTAAAAATGAGTGAAAGCGAAAATTGTGTTATTTTTATACATTTTTTCACTTGCATTGGTTATTGATTTATAATTATTTTTCTTGTTTCTCATTTATGAGATCAAAATATTAATTTCCATAAAATATTAAAGTTGATAGAAATGTATATTTTTCATTTCTTACAAAATATGGGTTGTTTAAGATATTATAAATAAATGAACCTTCAGACTTTTTGTGAAATATGAGTTGAAGTTGAAGTGATGTGATAGAAATAGTATGACTTAAATAGGATAGTAAATTTTTGATTTTTTAACTTTTTTAAGAGGTATCAAACGTAGCCTTATATTCACCAATAATGGCATATAGTTAATAAAATTTAAAATGGATTTATAAACAATAATATGTAAGTAACCATATTAAAGTCAAGTTTGGCATATATAAAATAATTCATCTTTTTATCATTTTTTCATTATATCACCTTTTTATTTTTCTGCACATCTTTTCGTAAAAAGACAAAAAAATACACTTATTTAAGTCATCCCAAACAACCCCTAAATAACGGGTACTACATGCATTAATTAGTGTATCAATACTAATTATGACATTATTATTAATCACATTTATTAATCTCATTATAAATTTCAAAAATCTCTTAAATTATAACACATCATCAATTGGTACATTAATTAATATATCAATTAGTACTATAGCATTATTCATTAAATAATCATTGGAGTATTTTTTTTTAAAAAAAAAACTATAATTTATATAATATTTATATTTATCAATTTTTAGAAAGAAATTTGAACAAGTTTTTTGTAAAATAGGTATTTTTTTTTTTAAAAAAACTATAATTTATATAATATTTATATTTATCAATTTTTAGAAAGAAATTTGAACAAGTTTTTTGTAAAATAGGGCAAAAACCTCTCTCTCTCTCTCTCCATTTTCCCTCCCTTTTCAAAACAGAGTCTGAAAGCGAGTCGAACCATTTCGAAGTGAAAATTTTCTGTTTCCCTCTTCTTTCATCTTCTTCTTCATCCCTCAAAAATCAAAACACAAAGCTTTAATTTTCAAATTTCTTCTCTTTTCCCTCCGCCCACATTCCCAAACCCAAAAAACTTCCCAAAATCGAACCTTCAAAACCCTAATTTCGTTTTCTTCTCCCTAACTCCACATTCCCAAACTTTCCCCTCTTTCTCTGCATTTCAATGGATACCCATCTCACAGAAACACTCCAATTTGAATACCCACCTCCCGATTCAGTTGATTCGAAGCAAACCTTAGATGGGTCTTCACACAATTCACCTCCGCCGCAAACCCTAGATTGTCTGCTCAACTCGTCAGCAGCTCCGCCCGACTCGAATCCCGATAATCACTCTGATTCGGCTTTGTTTGGTGGTGTTGATTCTCAAAAGAACGAAGAAAACGATGCATTCAATTCTTCGCACTGGTCGTCCATGGGGTGGGACTCCCGGGGAGGCACCAAGACCTCGGCCTCGGCCTCGGCCTCGGGTTGGTCCGATTGGCCTTCAGTAGAAGACACCAAGCCCTCTAGCTTGGATTGGTCTGATTCAATGCCTTTGCAGGAAGAAACTGTAGCCAAGGTTTCTGATTCGGTCTCTCCGGACTGGTCAAGTGAAGCTAAGCCGGCTATGGTGGTGTGTTGTTATGCTAAATCTCCATGCCACACTAAATTTTTAGTTTACTTCTGTTAATTTTTGTTTCTAGGAATTTGGGTATTTGAATTTTCTTTATTTTGTGAATTTGTAGGGTGCAGGGCTTGCAAATCTAGGCAACACTTGTTTTCTTAATGCAATCTTACAATGTTTTACGCACATAGTGCCACTCGTTCAGGGTCTTAGGTCATACAATCACCCAAGGCCTTGTGACCGTAAGATTCTATACCCTGATTATGCGTACTTCGTCTCATTTTGCTTTAGTTTACATTATTGATCTGTTCATATATTTCATTTGTTATATTTATGTGTTGAGTTTTGATTTGAAATTGGAATTTGCAGGTGATAATGAAGGGTTCTGTGTAATTTGCACTCTTCGTGACCACATTGAATACTCCATAGCTTCGATGGACAGGGTTGTCTCCCCTTGGAAGCTTGTTGACAATTTGAACTGTATCCTCTTCTACAGTGATATTTATTGATACGACACTATAATTTTAATAAAATCGGGTTTAATTGATTGGTGTTGATTTATCTGCATTTTTTTAGGATGTATTAATAATATAGTTTTTGTCACTACATCAAAGCAAATTGAACTAATCAGCATTTCTGATTGATTTATTTCTTTGTGTTTGTGGTCTTGTGTTATCTCGTTTAGCTAACTATTGCTTCTTCAAATATTAACTACTTAGAAGTTTATGTTATTGTCATTCTTGACCTAGGAAATTCCAGATATTTCATCCAACTTTCGGAGATTCCAGCAGGAAGATGCACATGAGTTCCTGCAATGCTTGTTGGATAGACTTGACAGCTGTTGTATTTATTCACAGACAAAGGATACTTCTTTGCCTTCAGCTGATGAGAGCTTGGTCAAGCAAGTTTTTGGTGGCCGTCTGATTAGCAAAGTATGAATTTTAAATTTATTTCTGATTCACCTTTTATATTGGTTATTTTGATAACGAGGTTAGCTATTATTTATTAGAAAAAAGTTTGCTATTAAAGCTAACATCATACGCACACAGACATACATATATGGGTAGGATTTAGGATTTGGAATTGTTTCTTAATTGTTGAATGCTTTTGTGTTTGAATTCTAGCTTCAATGCTACAATTGTGGTCACTCTTCTGACACCTATGAGCCATTGATTGACCTGAGTTTGGAGATTGAGAATGTGGGTGCTCTTCCTAGTGCATTGGAATCTTTCACCAAGGTGGAAAAGATTGAAGATCCAGAGACAAAGTTCACTTGTGAACAATGTAAAGAAAAAGTGTCAGTAGAAAAGCAGCTTATATTGAACCAGGCTCCTTCTGTTGCTGCGTTCCACTTGAAAAGATTCAAGAATGATGGCTCCTATGTTGAGAAGATTGACAAGCACGTGGAGTTCCCACTAGAGCTAGACTTGCTGCCATACACTGGTGGCGATCAGAATAATGATGTGAGTATATGGGCCCCGGTTTTGCTAGAGAATTTCTATCAACAAATAATTAAATAGTAAGTTTGTTACTGATGTCAAAGCCATTGGTTGAAAGATCTGTTAGGAAAATGAACTTCATAAATAGTAGTCCCAATGCAACTGTCTCATGATCTAATCTGAAAAATTATGATGGTTGAGTAGTTTGCATTTTCTGTTGGGTGCTGATGGTGAATGGCTTTAGAAAACTTAGCTGCTTCAAATATTTTTACTGATTGAGTGATCATACCTTTGCATGAGTTTTTAGTAAATTTTCTTTTGGTAATCCAGTGGTAAAGATACTTATAGGGTGGGATTAGTGGGGTTTAAGTATTACTTTAAACTTGAAAAGAAAATGCATATATCAATTATCTTTGTTTGGGTTTTTGTTATATGGACAGGTACTAAACTCTGTTTTCTCTATACCATATAGGTGGAATTGAAGTACAATCTGTATGCAGTTGTTGTGCATATCGGATTCTCATCCACTTCGGGTCATTACTATTGCTTCATTCGTTCTGCCCCAGATGCATGGTACAGGTTGGATGACTCAAAGGTAATACTTGCTGTAGTTACATGTATTTTTTGGATTAGTAAGATTAGTATTTTATGGATATCATATGTTGGCAATTGAGATTCACCTTCTTACATTTTTTGTTTGGATGATAGGAGGAATCAAAGAGTGAGAATGAGAATCTTTTTACTAGTGATTTAATTACTAGTAATAATATATTTCTGTGTCAATGTAATTTAAGTGTTTGGTTTGGTTAGGAATCCTCTATAAATCCTCTAAAGGAATATGATTTAATTTTAAATTTTATGGGACCATCAATTTATTTTATTCTGAAATGAGTTATGTACCTCCAGGAATGTGAGATTTTGATGGGGAATGTGGGAATGGGATTCTTACTAGTGTGGTAAATTCATTTTGCCTTGGGAACTATTGTAAGAATCACATTCTCATTCTTATATGCATCCAAACAAAGGAATGAAAGAGACATGGAATGAGATTCTCATTTTCCTTGCCACTCCTGCTGGCCAAACATGGCCTTAAGGTTGCATTATGTTTGTTGGATATGACCTACTTTCCTAGTTTTGGCATTTGCAACAGTTTAGTGGCAAAATATGACGATGGATAACAATTTGATTATTCTGGATCATAGTTAACTAGTGATAGTTAAGCCACAAAGTGCAATTGCTGAATTTTTTGAGAATGCCCATATCGTTGCTGAAGTACAATTTTTCACTTTCCCTTACTATGTTGTGGACTGTAACTATTTAAATGTGATTGCTAGTTGAGTCTGATCTGTTTAAATTGCCTTAAATTGCTTGTAACTCTATTTGTCAGCATCGGGATGCAATACTGATTGAGAATTCCATTTAGTAATGATTCATCTGTTATTATTTCTTGCAAATTTGAAGGTATAAATTAACATCTGAGTTTTATTTTTTTAGGTTACTAGGGTTCGAGAAGATTTTGTGCTTTCTCAAGAAGCCTACATTCTATTCTATGCAAAGGAGGGCACTCCATGGTTTTCAAGTTTCATGGAAACAGAAAAGTCATCCATCGATCCAAATCTATTCAGCAATTCACCCCAGTCTGTTTTAGATAACGTTGATCGCATTGGTACTTCTTCCCCTAATGTGGCAGATAATTGTAGTGGTGAAGTCAATGAAGCTGGAGAAGTTGCTGTTGGAATTTCTGTAGATTCTTTTAATAAACGTACACACAATAGTGTTGAAGTTGATGAGGCTAAAGATGATTCTCACAGGTTATTTACTCCAGTGCCACTGGTGATGAGTAATTCTTCAAGTGAAACGGCATATAAAGTAGAGAGAAAATTCTCTCCATCTGCTCTTAGAGATAATAATTCCAATCGGGAGTTCAATAAAGTTGCAAAGAATGTCAATATCATTCCTTCAACTCCCCTGAGTTCTCCTAGCCCAGATATATATGCAGAAGAGCCTCCAAGTAAATCCATTTGTTTTGTTTCATTTGTATATTTATTCATTTCCATATCTAATTTCCTTAACATGGGTCAGAAGAACTAACGCTAGGAACTGTGTTTTGGGATTTTCAGCAGTGACTTATTCCATCCCAAGGAATCATCTGATATCAGAGAAACAAGTGCCTTGCAAAAGACAATTGGACAAGGATTTGGAGGATTCAGAGAGAAACCAGGCTCATAAACTATTGAAAATCATGCCCAATGACAGGAGTGCGAAACTATTGGACAACGGTTTGGAGGATTCAGAGAGAAAGCAGGCTCGTAAACTATTGAAAGGCATGCCCAATGACAGGAGTGCGAAACTTTTGGCTGCCATGAATGGGTCCCACAATGAAGGTCGGAGGAGCAGGAGAATTGAATCATCTTCAAATAGAAATGAAAGACCTTCAAGTGCTCGCCATAATCCCAACCTCAGCTCTTTTACACGTCCTGTGTCTGCTGGAAGTTTACGGTAATCAGTTGTGAAAATTTGATGAGAATCTACTTGGTCTGCTTAATTTTGCCAAACATAGATGTTCTTCTGAGGTTAACATGAAAAATCTGGGGAATATTTGATCTTTCAAACATGAGTTATCTAGCGTTTTGTATTATCCCATGGGCGGAAATTAAAGTAGATTGATTTTGTTTCCTAGGTTTGTTTATATTGTCTGATGTAAAGTTCAATTGAAGTTTCTTCTGGGCTCCATTCTAGTTTAAATGTTTTAGTGAACAGAGATGTGTTTGGATTATGAAGCAAATTGGAATCCCCTCTATTTGCGTTGACTTGTGGCTCTATGAGGAAACTGGGTTTAGACAAAGATCAATGGGTGTGGCAAATTCTCTTTGTTTCTATTGTTGGTTGGTGTTGTAGTAAAATTTTTATATAACGGTGATTTTCCGTTATTATTGACACGTGATATTATTAATTAATAATACAACTATATGGTGGTTTACATAGTATTATCACGTGTTGGTGATGCTATGATATTATTATTGTATTAATTTTTTTTTTCCCCTGGTGGTTGTATTCCCAAGGCTACTAGGCCAGTTGGGCCATGCTGAGATTGGGCCAGCCCACAAGCCTTGGGTATTTACGAGTGTGTATCAAAAAAGCCCTCCTATATTCCTAGTTGGTTTCTCCATATTAGTAGTGACATGTGCTTTTCACTTTGATTCGACTTGTATGGATTATTTTCAACTCTTAAAAGATAAAAGAATATTTTCATGTACACAAATGAGTGGCTTCCACTTTAAACTTTGTGGGTAAATTTTTTTACCCATTATACTAAATGTAATTTTTAATTTTTTTTTTTATTTTTATTTTTATTGCATTACTAGATTAAATTTAAGTGGTAAATTTTTTTACCCATTAGATTAAATGTAATTTTTAATTTTTTTTTATGATATTTATCGCATTACTAGACTAAATTTAAGTATCAAATACCATATGATGCAGCATGAAATTCACATAAAGAATTTTAAATTAAGATAAGTCAACCAATCTGAAAAACCTAAGTCTCTGGACTTTGGCATTATCATTATGCTTGAATAGCATAGACATAGTTTGCATAAAAAGCATACTAAGTTCACTCTTGGTTGTGTCGAAGACCTTGTTTGATGTAACAAGAAGATTAAAGAATAAACCAATACTAGTATACAAGGATTAAGAGGACCTCCAACATGACCCTTTCTTCCTCACTCGGCCTAAGCATGAACAGAAGACCACATTTGCTGGAGAAAGAGGCAAGAAAAAGAAAGAAAGAAATGGGAAGTAGTAGTAGTGGTGGTGGTGGGAAGAGAACATTAGCACAAGATCTGATAGCAGTAGAGGAGTCACCAGGTGGGTTAGAAAGTACAAAAAATGTGGTGGTGGTGATGGATGGACTCAAGGAGTTTACAATGGACCCTCTCATGTGGGTTCTGGAGAACATTGCTCATGAGGCTCATTGCACTATTACTCTCCTTGGGGTCATGCCCTGGCTTAACATTCCACGTAACTCTCTCTCTCTCTCTCTCTCTCTCTCTCTATACGATATAAATTTACATTTGGTATAGTGTATAAATGTAATCTATATATTCTATTTTTTGGGAATACTTTTTGAGGTAATTAATTAAAATTTTAGTTATGGTTGATAATTGATGTTATTTTCATGATGTGTGTTTAGTGTTTTCTAAGACATGGTCAGACATTTGGACAATGGACCTGGAGGATTTGTCAGCCATAAAGAAGAAAACCAAGTGGAAGAGCGATGCCAAGTACCAAAAAATTGAACAACTAATGTGACTTGCCAGTGAATCTCAACCACACAATGGAGCACTCTAGAAACTTTAGGGAAATTTCACTCTAGAGGATCCTTGGTGAATTTCATGATGTGTGTTTAGTGTTTTCTAAGACATGGTCAGACATTTGGACAATGGACCTGGAGGATTTGTCAGCCATAAAGAAGAAAACCAAGTGGAAGAGCGATGCCAAGTACCAAAAAATTGAACAACTAATTAATCTTTGCCAACAATATGGGGTATGCTAAACTTTAATTTATTAGAAAATTTAGTTACTCCAAAAATGTGTAAATTTTGTTCAAATTGTGAATATACAATTGAGATTGAATTAATATATTGCAAAATTCTTATATACATATTAATAGAATATTTTTGGCTGTTAATCTAGAGGTCCTACTAGCAAATTTATTTTATTCTATAATTTATTATTATTTTGTTAATGATGGTTTAGTTTTATTTGGTCCAACTTATTGTAAGTACAAGATTGATAATCACCTCTCTTTCAGCTTTTAGATAAATTTTTTTTTTTTATAACTTACTTAAATTATTTTTGTCTAATAAATGGTAAACATAAACTATATTAAACAATGTGACGTAAACTCTTAAATTAAAATAAATTATAATTAACTCATTTAAGTTGTAACAAACTGTCCTATCATTGTGTTGCTATTGAACTAACATATTATTAATTTTTTTGGTGAATCGAGTGTATAGGTAAAACCACAGATGAGATCAGAAATGGGGTACCCTTTGCAACTACTTGTGGTTGAACAAATCATAAGCCTTCATGCAACTCTGGTAGTGTTTGATAGGTACATTAATGCCTACATACATATACTAAAATCGTCAAAAATGGTATGCAATATGAAAAAAAATACTAAAAGGAGTGTAAAATTTGAATTTATAATGTAGATTTAAATTTGGAGTGGTGTGAGTCATATTCAAAATAAATTTGATACAAATATTTTAAATTTTAAATATTATTTCCGAATACACGATATTGCTGATTGTCAATAATCTTAGGTTGAGTTCGACAATTGCTTTCTCAGTGGGCCTTTTTGTTTTGTTTTTTACAATAGAGTCGTTACTAAAAAAGTTGATGCATTTAGAAAATGCTATTTTTTTTTCCTAATAGATTCTTCACATTTTAGATCCTTTGAGAAGAGAAAAACATGAAAAAAAGTAAAAAAATCTAATACAAAATTTCAAAAATTTCATTAAAGACAAACGAGTTCGGGAAAAAGTTAATATTTTTTAGCAATTGCCAAACAGAAATAAATCTTGTTAAGAAAGTTAAAATTTTCACAATTGGAAGTTAAATAACCATAACCAAACATTTATTTTTTTTAAAAAACTTTAAATACTCAAAAGTTGAAAATAAATAGAGTGCTAATAGTTGGTCTATGATATGTGATAACAGGCATCATCAGAAATATAGAGAATACTATGCAGAGAAAATTCCATGCAGTATGGTTATGATGAATGAAGAAGGAGAGGTTGACATGATCAAGGGTAAATCCCATGTTGAAAATCTAGAGAACATATCGGAAGAATCTCCAATTTCGTCAGCACCTACTACGAAATTGATGATTGCAGAACGTTTGAGGAAAATTTTTCTGGTGAAGAGCTCAAGAAAATCATGCTTAAAAATCCGCTCTACAAGGTCTGCTTGATTGACTGAATGCCAAATATGAATGGCAAAGTACTCTATTTGGAAATAATATGAAGACAATGTCTCATGTTTTATGTTTAAAGGACATTACCCAGTTTTGGTTCCTTAATAATCAAAGGTGTTGAGAAGAGATTGCAAAGTATTTGCTCTCACACTCAAACCTGTAGTCTTATGCTTTAGTTCTTGTTTTATATGTCTCTTTGAGTAACATATCCATTATGTGTAATGGAATTTAATAGAGGTGGGCGCGGGTCGGTTGCGGCCACGGAACTTTTAATCCGTCATCTATTTGTTAGATTGGCGGTTTGGCGGATGGATGCGAATCGGTTTGGCGATTTAAAATTTTATAAATTTTTAACATAATTCAACTTGTGCACTTCCTCAAAAAAAAGAAAAAAAAAAAAAGAAAGTATTACAGTCAGTGACTTAAAAAAGTATTACTATCACTATATGCCTCATTCAAAGAAAGAAAGTTTGAAACTTTAGAATATCACAATCACTGCATGCCTCATCCACATATTATAATCACAACATGATTCATCCACATAAAGTATTACAATATGTGGTTGTTAAAATGTAAAAACAATTCAAACCACCAAAACAGAGCAGTATTGTTACATCTATATATAGTTAGATTTAAAAACCAAAAAATATAGATAAATAATACGTTTATTTTTCTCAATTCAAAAAATATATTCAAGTTGAATTTTTTTTTTTCAACAGAATATTTAAATTCTTTTTCAATTGAAAGCACAAACAAAATATTTAAACAAATTGAAAAGACAAAAGCTTATAAATTACTAGGAGTGCTCGCGGTTTGGCGGTTCGGTTGCGGCCAAAGGAATCTCAAATCCGCCATCCGTCCACCAAATTGGCAGATTAGAGAAAATCAATCCGCAACCGTCCGTTTGTCATCACGCATCCGTCTAAAATGCGGCAAATCGATTCGGTTCGATCAGATTTGGCGAATCGATATATCCACTGTTCACCCCTAGAATTTAATAATAAATTAGATTTACATTTAGAAAGCAGCATATGGTTCAAAATTTGATTTACTGTGAAATCAAATCATTTTAGATCATCACTAAAAAGAAACTCAAGAAGTAATTCGAAAATAAAGTGTGAATCAAATTTATTTTGAATGCAATAGTTCGTTTAGATTAACCAATCACAAAATTTAAAAATTCACTAAATATGTTAGGCTTATTTCTGTTTCACTATTTTTTTTTTGAGATCATCTAATTTAAACTAAGCTAAAAAGTAGAATAATTTCATCTAATGTGAATTTTTTTTTTACTAAAGACAAAAGTAAGTCTAAAAAATACACCAATTTATATGCAACATGATAAAACTTCTAATAAAAAATATAATTTACAACACTACAATAAAAACATACTTTAGTGGCACTACACTAGTGGCATATTTTTAGAAAATGTCACAAAAAATGATATTTAGTGGCACGTTTTTGAAAAATGTCACAAAACGACAAACATAAAATGCTCTAGTGACATTTTAATAAATAAGTGTCACAAAACTACAACAAAAACATACTTTAGTGGCACTACACTAGTGGCATATTTTTAGAAAATGCCACAAAAATGATATTTAGTGGCACGTTTTTGAAAAATGCCACAAAACGACAAACATAAAAGGCTCTAGTGACATTTCAATGAACAAGTGTCACAAAACTACAACAAAAACATACTTTAGTGGCACTACAATAGTGGTATATTTTTAGAAAATGACACAAAAATGATATTTAGTGGCACGTTTTTGAAAAATACCACAAAACGACAAACATAAAAGGCTCTAGTGACATTTCAATGAACAAGTGTCACAAAACTACAACAAAAACATACTTTAGTGGCACTACAATAGTGGTATATTTTTAGAAAATGACACAAAAATGATATTTAGTGGCACGTTTTGGAAAAATATAAACAAATATTTTATAGCATTTTGAGAAATGCCACTAAGCCAAAAACTTTCCAAGCTTATAATGACATTTTTGAAAAAACAAAAAATATCAATATATTTTCTAAATTTTTAAAATGCAGTAAATGATTAAAAATAAATGAATTAAACTCACTATACACTACAGGAAAAAACATATTTGGTGACTAAATTTCCTGACCAAAAAAATTTGGTTGCTGAAAGTATAGCTTTCAGCGACCAAAACAGCATTAGTTGCCAAAAGTAAAACTTTTTGGCGACTAAACAATTTTAGTAGCCAAAAGTCTACAATTGGCGACTAAAACTAAGTTTAGTCGTTGATTATATGGGTCTTAGTGACTAAAAATTTTTTAGTAGCCCAAAGTAAAACTTTTTGGCAATTAAAAAAATTAAATAGCCAAAAGTCTACAATTGGCGACTAAAAATAAGTTTGGTCGCTGATTATATGGGTTTTACAGACTAAAAAAATTTTAGTAGCGAAAAGTAAAGTTTTTTGGTGCCAAAAAAAATTTTAGTAGCCAAAAGTCTACAATCGACGACTAAAAAATAAGTTTAGTCACCAAAAGTTGTCATTTTTAGCACGGGAGAACTAAAATCCTAAGGCGGGAATAAAATTTTTTGGTGACCAAAATTTTGGTAGCTGAAAGTGCATCTTCGGCGACCAAATCCGATTTTGGTCGACAAAAGTTAAGTTTTTTAGCATCTAAAAAACAATTAGTAGCCAAAAGTATAGAATTGGCGACTAAAAATATTTTTAGTCGCCAAAAGTGGTCGTTTTTTTATTTTGGTAGTAAATAGTTTATTTTACATAAATTATGTTCAATAAAATAATTATGTTTATACATATACTTTTATATTAATATGGATGTATGTACTATATAAATAATATATGTTGCATATATAATCATGTGGTGCTATAGAGGTGTAGTAGGAAGAGTGTGGTGTATAAGGTTTATGATGCAGAAGGTTGGCGGTTCGAGTCTCCGCAAGAGCGGATCAAATTGTTCTACAACGAATTAGAGTCATGAATAACACTTGATAGCGTCACGAATAGTGCCTACAATGACATTAAAGTGTCACTGAAAGGTTTTAGTCTTGATGGTGTAATGACACTTACAAGTGTCACTAACTTTTTTTTTAATAGCGCTTGATAGTGTCACAAATAATATCCACCATGACATTAAAATGTCATTGAAAGTTTTCGGCCATGATGGTGCAGTGGCACTTGCAAGTATCTACCGTGGCACTCGTATCTACCGTGGCACCGATAGAAGTGGCACTTGTTCAAAATGCCACAAGACTAAAAAATGTCATTAAAAAAATAATTTTGTGACACTTTCAAATATGACTAAACTAACAAAATGTTGTAGTGCAAATTACTAATACTAATATACTTTGTAAACTATTAATTGAGTCACATAGTGCCTACATGTGATATTTAAATGCCCGGACTCGAACCTGATATTTAAATGCCCGGCATTTTTTGAGGGACTCGAACCGGAGCTCTCAAGAGAGAGCCGGCTGTGCAGATTAACAAACCTTTTGCTCGAATTATTGCCCAATTTTGTTTACTTGTGGTTTTTATTTATATATTTGTAAGAGGGGCTAATTTGAGCCCATTAAATTAATTAGGCCCAATAGTCCAAGATTGGTGGGCCCGAATTTATCACCATCAAACGGGCTAAATGGCTCTAAGCCTCGAAAGGGTTCGGATCCACGAACCTAGAGACTTACGTGGGCCCGGACTCGAAAGGGTATTAAGCAAGCCTAGAGATCCGAGGCACTCGGACTCGAAAGGGTTCGGATCCACGAACCTAGAGACTTACTCAAGCCCGGACTCGAAAGGGTATTAATCCACGAACCTAGAGACTTACGTGGGCCCGGACTCGAAAGGGTATTAAGCAAGCCTAGAGATCCGAGGCACTCGGACTCGAAAGGGTTCGGATCCACGAACCTAGAGACTTACGTGGGCCCGGACTCGAAAGGGTATTAAGCAAGCCTAGAGATCCGAGGCACTCGGACTCGAAAGGGTTCGGATCCACGAACCTAGAGACTTACGTGGGCCCGGACTCGAAAGGGTATTAAGCAAGCCTAGAGATCCGAGGCACTCGGACTCGAAAGGGTTCGGATCCACGAACCTAGAGACTTACGTGGGCCCGGACTCGAAAGGGTATTAAGCAAGCCTAGAGATCCGAGGCACTCGGACTCGAAAGGGTTCGGATCCACGAACCTAGAGACTTACGTGGGCCCGGACTCGAAAGGGTATTAAGCAAGCCTAGAGATCCGAGGCACTCGGACTCGAAAGGGTTCGGATCCACGAACCTAGAGACTTACGTGGGCCCGGACTCGAAAGGGTATTAAGCAAGCCTAGAGATCCGAGGCACTCGGACTCGAAAGGGTTCGGATCCACGAACCTAGAGACTTACGTGGGCCCGGACTCGAAAGGGTATTAAGCAAGCCTAGAGATCCGAGGCACTCGGACTCGAAAGGGTTCGGATCCACGAACCTAGAGACTTACGTGGGCCCGGACTCGAAAGGGTATTAAGCAAGCCTAGAGATCCGAGGCACTCGGACTCGAAAGGGTTCGGATCCACGAACCTAGAGACTTACGTGGGCCCGGACTCGAAAGGGTATTAAGCAAGCCTAGAGATCCGAGGCACTCGGACTCGAAAGGGTTCGGATCCACGAACCTAGAGACTTACGTGGGCCCGGACTCGAAAGGGTATTAAGCAAGCCTAGAGATCCGAGGCACTCGGACTCGAAAGGGTTCGGATCCACGAACCTAGAGACTTACGTGGGCCCGGACTCGAAAGGGTATTAAGCAAGCCTAGAGATCCGAGGCACTCGGACTCGAAAGGGTTCGGATCCACGAACCTAGAGGTCCGAA